AGTGTTGGATCCTAGGCAAGCCCCGGAGCATTCTAAGCCTCCTATGTTTTTACAAACATCACTTGAGTTCTTTATGTTTGATGCATTAGGTTATAAGAATTGATTGGAACCACTTGATGCATAGAACTACCTTGTCCAGAAATATACCTTAAACCATATGTAGGTCTAGGATCGATTGTATGCTTAGCAATGCTTAGACCAGTAGAAGTCGGGTGATTTCCTGTCACTGCCTCCTACCACGCCACCGAGCAGCTCGAGCTGGTGCACGGTGACCTCTGTGGTCCAGTGTCACTAGCCACTCCTAGAGGTCGACACTACTTCCTACTGCTTGTCGATGACGCCACCCGCTATATGTGGGTCATGCTGCTCGATTCCAAGGCGGCAGCTGTAGATGTCATCAAGCACCACCAGACAGCCATGGAGAAGGAGTGCAGCCGGAAGCTCCGGTTGCTCCGCACAAACAACAGCGGCGAGTTCACGGTGGCCGAGTTCGTGGCATACTGCGCCGACGAGGGGATTCAACACCACTACTCCGCGCCCTACTCACCACAGCAGAACGGCATGGTCGAGCGTTGCAATCAGACGGTGGTGGCCATGGCACGCGCCCTCCTCAAGTAGCGTGACATGTCGGTGATCTATTGGGGTGAGGCCATGATGACCACCGTACACCAGCTCAACCGCTCGCTGACCAGTGCACTCGACGAGAAGACGTCGTATGAGGCCTGTGAAAGGTCCTTGTTTGGTTTTGGTAACTGAGTGACAACCTAGGTGGACTAATGGTGTTTATGTGAGATACACAGGTGATTAGTCCACAGGTACATGTGTGTGAGCAACATATGCCATGGAGGTGGAAATGGCTCGGAGATGTTGCAAAGCTCACACATGTGATGGTGAAGGAGCTCATTGCACATGAGACATGACATTATGTCATGTGATCAAGGTGGAGAAGATCAAGACATGACTTGGCTTGATGAATCGGTTGCAAGCGTGAAGGGCAAGTTGGAGGCTTAGGAGCGATGGACCGCGTGGCGGTGAAGCTTGAGCAAGACTTGGCGTCGATGGACGAAGGCAACGGTGAAAAGCAAGTGAAGTCAAGATCGATGAACCAATATGATCATGTGATGATATGAAGTGGATCATATCATTTGGTGATTGGTTGGTGCATGTGTTGCATCAACAATGGAGGAGATGGAATGTAATGCGCAAGGCAAAGGTATAACCTAGGGCATTTTATTTCACCGGTCATAGGTGTGTAGAGAAGTTGATGACCGGGTTTAGGATAGATGGCCGTACTATCAAGAGGGGCAAACTTGTTTGCATATCGGTCATCTAGTGCCACTCGAGTGATCTAACTTTGCATCGTTGCTAGGATCGAGTGGCGTGGCAAGTTGAGCGGCTAGTCCTTTGAAAAATGTTTGTGAAAAGCTAACACACATACACATGGTGGTGTACACTCGGTGGTGTTGGCACATTTGCAAAGGAGATGAAGTTGGAGTTGATGTGGATCAACTCGGCAATGAAACGAAGGCAAGAAGGGTTCGGAACTCCACCGGCGGAGTGTCCGCCCGTAGAGTGTGGACAGTCCGACAGTGCCACCGGCGCCCTATACAGAAAAGATAGGGTGTCACAGAGTGCACCGGACGCTGGTCACACAGTGATCGGACGCTGGGGTCCTACATTCGGTCTGTGACAGCAGTGAAGGCGTAGGCATCGGTCTTTGACCGGATGATGGGTCACTTTGTGACCAGACGCTAGGTGGGTGCGTTCGGTCCCTCTGACGTGGCGGTACAGAGAAGAGGAGAAAGGACCGGACGTTGATGCTGTGTCCGATCGTGACCGACCGGACGTGTCCGGTCACGGTTGAGCAGCTCTGGGAGCTTACTGGAAGTGACCGGATGTTGGGGTCCTGCGTCCAGTCGAGACTAGAATCTTACTGGAAACGGCTGGATGCTGGGGTCCTGCGTTCGGTCACTACTTAAATGTACTGATGACCATTGAGATCGGGCGATCAGCGATTGAAGCAGGGGCCATGTGGCGTGCATCGCGCGACCGGATGCTGGGGTGCTGCGTCTGGTTGATCTGACCGGCGTGTCCGGTCGCCCCGATTTTTGCCCAGTGAAGGGGTAACAACTAGTTTAGCCTGTGGGGCTATAAATAGAAGTGGGTCTCAGCCATGGCTGGTGCTGAGCACCTTGGGGGGGACTTTGTGTCCATGCTTGAGAGTGCTTAGGAGCCCTCCATCTCACATATGCTTGATAGTGATCATCCGATTGTGTGAGAGAGCGATTCTAGTGCGATTGCATCGTGAGGTTACATCGAGTGGCACTAGGTGATCGAGATGTAAGACGGTGGTGCTTGTTACTCTTGGAGGTTGCCACCTCCTAGATGGCTTGGTGGTAGTCTCCGTCGAAGCCCGCAAGAAGCTTCTGCGGTGCTCTGTAGAAGAGCTTTGTGAGGGGCATTGTGCTCGCCCCGCGGGAGCCACGAAGAGCAACTCTAGTTGAGCGTGTCATTGAGCTACCCTCTCTTGTGGGTAGGTTCTTGCAGTGCCTGACGTGCGGGCTTGGTGGGTGATGTCAATTAGCCGCTGAACCACCAAGTGAGCGATCGACACAACGGGGACATAGCTTGGTGGCAACCAAGTGAACCTTGGGAGAAAATCATCGTGTCATCTTTGTTTTCTCGTTGGTTTGCATCCTCGTCACACAAGCTTGTAATTACTTTCATATATATTGTGCTTGTGTAGTTGCTCTTATAATTAGTTAGTTTGTGTAGCTTGCTAGTTACCTTCTTGCTTGTGTAGCATAGAAGTAGCTCCCTTGCGTGGCTAATTTGGTTTATGTAACCTTGTTAGTCACATTGCTTAGTTTGTGTAGCTAAGTATTTACGCTCTCTAATTTGGCAATTGGTTGCCTTGTTATTGAGCATTGCTAGTGAGCTTAGGTGGCTTTGTGCTTTTGCTTACTAGCAAGTGTAGGAGCTCCCTCGTTGTTTGAAGTACTAGTGGCATAGGTTTGTGTGACATTGCTTCTAGAATTGGTTAGGTGAGCTCTAGCTATCCCGACACCTTTGTTGCTTAATTAGAATCTTTATAAGGTGCTAGAGAACTTGGATAGAGGGGTGTAGTCTTGGCTAGACCGATTGTATTAATTCCGCACTTGATTCGGTTAGCCGACGCGACTAAATTTAGAAAGGACTATTCACCCCCCCTCTAGTCCGCTATCTCGACCTTTCATCCTGGCATGGGCACAAGATGGCGGTCATCTACCTGTGCGTCTTTGGCTGCCTCGCCTTCGTCAAGGAGCTGAACCACGTCGGCAAGCTCAATGATCGTAGCTCGCCGGCGGTCTTCATCGGCTACGTAGAGGGGGCCAAGGCCTATCGCATGTGCTTGACTCGGCGACACGGCATGTACGCATGGTGTGCGACATCGTGTTCGATGAAGGACGCGGTAGGGCATGGGATAAGGCAGTGGATGATGGGTCGGTAGCCGTGCTCCATGACTTCACCATCGAGTATGCATGGGTGGGAGGTGCTGAGGGAGCACAAGGTGCATCCTCATCGGCCATTGGGTCATCATCATCATCGGTGACCTATTCACTAGCTCCGCCGTGCTCGCCATCACCAAATTGGGGGGAGCTCGAAAGCCCATCGGCGGCGGTCGGCAGCCCATTGGTGGTAGTCGATAGCCCATCGACGGCGGTCGGCAACCCATCGGCTATGGTCGGCAGTCCATCAGTGGCGGTTGGAACCTCATCAGTACCAGCGCCGACCTCTCCAGCACGGCAACCGACCTCTCGGTGCACCAGCCAACCTCCTCGATATATTCTACCTCGCTTGCTGTGACACCAACACACACAGGGTAGCCGGAGGTCGAGTACGCAACACCACTGGAGGATGATGAAGACCGCCTGGACGCCTACTACGACGATGAGCCCCTCCAGTACCGCATGGTGGCAAACATCCTCAGAGAGCAGTCTCCACCAGACCAGCCCGAGCGGCTCTTCGCTCAGCTACATCTGATGCACATCGATGAGCCGACCACTTATACCGAGGCATAGGGTGATCTGGCGTGGTAGGCGGCGATGGAGCAGGAGCTCAAGTCGATCGAGCAGAACCGCACCTGGGAGCTGGTGCCACTGCCTGACGGCCACCGCCTCATCACCCTCAAGTGGGTGTTCAAGCTCAAGAAGGACGAGCTGGACGCGGTGATCAAGCACAAGGCACGGCTGGTAGCACGTGGCTTTATTCAGCAGGAGGGGATCGACTACGATGACGCCTTCGCCCCCATGGCACGTATGGAGTCAGTCTGTGTCCTCCTCTCACTGGCAGCTCAAGAGGGGTGGCAAGTCGACCACATGGACGTGAAGTCCGCCTTCCTCAACGGCAACCTCAAGGAGGAGGTCTACGTGCGCTAGCCACCTAGCTACGCCATCGCCGGAGAAGAGGGGAAGGTGTACCACCTGCGCAAGGTACTCTATGGCCTACGCCAGGCATCGCATGCCTAGAACGTGAAGCTCGATGCCACACTCAAGAAGAAGGGCTTCAAGCAGAGCACGCATGGGGCGGCGGTGTACTGACAGGGCAGCAGACGCAATGTCCTACTGGTCGGCGTCTACATCAATGACCTCATCATTATCGGCACAGAAGAGCAGAAGGTGGAGGTGTTCAAGGCGCAAATGAAGAAGGTGTTCGACATGAGCGACCTCGGCCTTCTCTGCTTCTACCTCGGTGTCGAAGTGCGCCAGGACGCCAGCGGGATTGCCCTCCACCAAACTCACTACGCCAAGCGCATCCTCGAGGTCGGCGGCATGACGGACTGCAATTCGGCCCACACCCCGATGGAGGAGAAGCTCAAGCTGAGTCGGGAGAGCACGGCGGAGGAGGTCGATCCAACCCATTACCAGCGGTTGATTGGGAGCTTGCGTTACCTGGTCCATACCCGGCCAGACACTGCGTTCGCCGTCGGGTACATGAGCCGGTTCATGGAGCGGCCGACGATGCAGCATCTGCAGGTCGTCAAGCGAATCCTGCACTACGTGGCAGGCACCCTCGACTACGGTCTCCACTACGGAAGGGCCCCTGACACAGCGCAGTTCGTCAGCTACTACGACCGTGACCTCGCCGGTGATGTGGATACTAGCAAGAGCACAACCGGGACGATGTTGTTCCTCGGTGATTGCTGGGTCAGCTAGCAGTCCCTCAAGCATAAGGTGGTGGCCCTCTCAAGCTGTGAAGAAGAGTACACTGCCACCACCACTGTAGCAACTCAGGAGCTATGGCTATCAAGGATGCTAGCAGAGCTCCTTGGTAGGAAGGTGGATGTGGTTGAGATGAAAGTGGATAGCAAGTCTGCTCTAGCTCTAGCCAAGAACCCCGTCTTTCATGAAAGAAGCAAGCACATCCGCATCAAGTATCACTTCATCAGGGACCGCTTGGAGGATGGGTGCATCAAGACTAGCCACATTGGCACTACTGATTAGGTGGCTGACATTCTCACCAAGTCACTAAGGAGGTCCAAGTTTCAAGAGATGATGGAGATTATTGGGCTATAGCAGATCACCTCCAGTGCTCGGCACAAGGCTTAGGAGGAGAATTGATAAATAAGCCTAGTGCTAAAGCACTTGTATCTTACTTTTCCTGTACTTTTACTTTCATTGGCTTCGAAGCCTAGTGTTAGGAATATGCTCAGCATCCACTTTAGTGGTTAGAATATGCTGTAGCAAGTAGGAGTCCCATTGCCTATAAAAGGCATGGGAGTGTCTTTGTAAAAACTAAGCCATTGCATTTTCATTCAATCCAAGCGGCCAAGGACTAAGCTGCCCTCTGGTACTTCCCAAATCTGAATTTGACATCTATTTGGACCAACAGTTATATCATATATATTTCCAGTGTCCAGATGTTTATTATCCATTGGTCCATCTTTGTCACTGTAGATCTATCTAGCTACTTTCTTCTATCACCTGTCTGAGTTGTTGAAGTTTTGCTTGATTATAGCTCTATACAATCTAAATAAAAGCAAGATTGTAAAGAATATATATGTGTGTGTGTTGTTACTTTTTGTTGCTGTTGGAAATTGTAGGATGCATATATTCTGTTTTTTCTCTCCAATTTGATAGATGCATTCTAGATTTGAAGTGTGCACTAGCTGCTGTAACGTTAGTCTTCTTGACTATTATGTGGCATTTGCCGGTTGTCATTCTATTCCAATACTGGATTAAAGGAGAACACATGCACATGCACATGCATATTAACTTTACCTTTTCGATGTACAGAACTGAGTGAGCCAAGTATTTTTTTAATGATTGCTAAATGCTTAACTCTTATGCAGTATAGGCTTCGCGCGACACCTTATTCTGTATTGAAAATAATGCTTTTATGCAGTAGATTTCAGTCTTGCTTCTACTTTTTTATTAGATAAAACGAGTTCTTGCTTGTACTATATGTTGCAATCGTTGCGGTTTTGTGTGTATTGTTATATAATTGCCAAAATAAAATCTGAACAAAAGTACTATTTGTCTAAAAATTGTGATGTTTGTGTGCTCATTCAGGATGTATATCTTTGTGAAGAACTCCACTGGAAGGACAATCCGTCTCAGGGTCCAGCCAACTGATACCTTGTCTACTGTCAAGGCAAAGATCCAGGAACAGTATTGCAGCTAGAGGATAAACTTACGTTGGCTGTTTACAACATCCAGCACAGATCCACGCTTGACCTTGAAGAGAAGATGCAAATCTACCGTAAACGATCGTAAATTTTCAGCCGGGAACAGTGTTTTTCTCTCACACCAAACCAGCCAGCAGTAAATAATCCACGATACGATACGGCCTCCCGAACAGGCTGGCTATTAGGCACGACCATCACTGTTGAGGTTGACAGCTCAGATACTATTGGTAACGTGAAGGACAAGATTGAATCGACGGAGGGCTTCCCCAAGCATCAACAGTGCCTCCTCTTTGACAACAAACAGCTAGATGACAACCGCACCTTGGCGGAGAACAACATTTGGAAGGAGGCCACCCTTCTCCTTGTCCTCCACTCATCTCCAAGAGGTACTATGCAGATCTTTGCGAAGACGATAACTGGAAAGACCCTAACTCTAGAGTTGAACAACACTGACACCATCGGCAATGTCAAGATGATGGTCTATAAGAAGGACGGCATTCCGCCTAAGGCTCTGGATCCCACCCAAAATCCAAAAATTTTCAAGATTTCCCGTCACATCAAATCTTGTGGCACATGCATGGAGCATTAAATGTAGGTAAAAAGAATAACTAATTGCACAGTTTGCCCGTAATTGGCGAGACGAATCTTTTAAGCCTAAATAGTTCATAATTGGACAATTTTTATCAAATACAAACGAAAGTGCTACAGTAGCCAAAAGCCAAAAAAATTCGCATGTAAACGGGGCCTAAATAACAACGCCTCATCTTTGCTGGCAATCAGCTGGATGATGACCTCACTCTTGGAGACTGACATTCGGAAAGAGCATACCCTCAATGTGATGCTCTGCTTGTGTGGTTGTTGAGAGAGGGATGCGGTGCATGGATATTCAACAATGAGTAGTATTTTGCTGTACTCTTCTTTCTTTACAGTAGTGGTTGGTGAACTTTGATTATATTGTTGGACGTTAGTATTGCTGCAGTCTTGTTTCTTTCTTTTCTACAAGTAGTACTGCTGTGTTATCAGTGAAACTTTCACTATTGCAGTGTGTTAACATTAACGTGTGAAATCTTATATCAAGAATTAATCAGATATTAGTTGAATGCATTCTTTAAAAAACATTAGTTGAATGCTTTATCTCCTCAAGCTTCTCGCTATTTGCAAGCCTCATTGTCAACGGCCGCAGCCAAGCTGTGGTAGCAACGTGGCCGCCACTTGACGATCGTATCGTGCTGTGGCTGGCGTAATAGCTCTTGAGAGGCGTGGTCGGCTGAGAAAAAAAAAATTCTGTGACGAAGGCTGGCACCTATGGTACCTACCACAGATTCACAATTTGTGTGTCCATATGCAAGTATTTATATGAACTAAGTAAGTCTTGTATATGGAGTTATGGACACCCATCATGAAACTAGAGTAGGTGGCCATGGGTATTTTTTTCTCGATTGGCAGTGATCTACACGGTGCTGTATATATATGCATGGCAGCTGGTGACCGTGGGCAATGCAAGGATCCGCTGCACGGCTTGGACGACGACACACAGCGATCACTATTTTGATGAGTACATGGTTCCATCAATTGCTTCCTTCCTTTGAAGGTGAAAAAATATTGTTCCTCTCCCCCATTGCTCTGTACTGTGCCATTCTTTGATTTGATTTGCATTGCTGCCTGGAAAAATGCCTCATTGTGCCCTGTCATCACATTGCTTAGCCTGTAAAAACTAACGTAATGGATTGGTTTGTGTCTGTATCCTTGTGTCATCACTCTGGAGCTTGAGAGGATCGACCTGCACCTATGAATCAATACTTGTATTCAACAGAGAATGTCATTTAGCTACTGATCTGAATTTGCTTAGTAACTTTTATCTTACCATATTTTATCTTACCGTAATGTCTATTTAAGCATCTACAGAATGCTTTTGACAAACATCATGACCTGTTTATCATTGATCAGTTCTGAATTTAAGTTTCCCTGAATTTTGTATCTATATTTTTTGCATGAGAGATATGGTTGCCCCCCGATGTCAAAAAAAATTCAGCAGCCGTGAAACATACTCTTTTCTTTGAATGCACGGGACGTTGGTTTGATCATTGTTTGCAAAATTACTATTGGTTTTCCAAGCTTTTGGGCCAGCAAAATTGACACTGTGATCTATATTTCAAGTGACATGAACTACATGGCACTACTACAGAATGGACTTGTTGTCCCGGGCGGTAACGGCCTTTAGTCCCGGTTACCGCGCCGGGACAACGATCCCGGGACTAAAGTTGCCACCTTTAGTCCTGGGTCATCGAGCCGGGACTAAAGAGGGACCTTTAGTCCCGGTTGGTGTTACCAACCGGGACTAAAGACCCTCCAGCCGAGCAAACGTGGCCGCACCCTTTAGTCCCAGTTGGTAACCCCAACCGGGACTAAAGGTTCCTTTTCTTTTTCTTTTTTTTTAATTTGTTTTCAGTTTAGTTACACGTATTTGTTTAATATATAATATGTTTTTATGTACGTATTCTACGTTGCTAATATAAATACACGCACGCATATAATTACATCTAATTCTCATCTCGAGCATTATTATATTCGAATAAAGTATGAACCTATATATATTATAGATATATATATGTATATATACAACACTTTCATAATCTTGTTCTCGAAAATAACGATATCAATAAACATTTAATTTACATCATTTATTCCTTAGGATCAAAGTAGAACTCGCCGTTGGGATTTAGCACTTTTTCTAGAAGATATCCTGCTATTGACTCCTGAACTGCTTTCAGATGGTCTTTTTGCATGACCCTTCGTTTCAACCATTCAGTCTTGCATTTGAAATAAAAGAAAAAGTATTAATACATATATATATATATAGTCATTTAAAAATAAATAAAAAAATTGATATATACGTACTCTGAGGACATCTTTAGGAGTTCTTCTTATGTGCGCAGTGATAAATTCACAAACGTAGTATCCACACAAGTTATTACCTGGTTCCTGCCGCAAACACCACTGTACGAGAAGAAGATTATTCTCATCATCTCACATGTAAATTGAAGTACGATATAGTAATTAAACACGTGGGAAAGTGTATATAGTACAACTTACTGGTATTTCAACTACATTAAGTGGTGCCTTGCAATCCTTGCGATGTTGCCGAATAAACTCTTTACAAACCCTATGCGATCAATAATGTACGATCGTTAATAAATTATGGCAAAGTCTATTCAATAATAGTTGTGCGCGAGAGATCGAAATTACCCCTGGATAATGTCTATCATATCTTGGTATAGTGTCCGCTCTTTTCTCAACGAGTCAAAGATTACTAACCGACTTGAGTTTAACTCAATGACAATGAGTATCCAGTGAAACCTGTATTGGTTTATACACATACGTACATGCACATAAGTTGTATTGATATTACATAAAATGTGTAGACTACATTATTATTAACACTTACTCAAAGCTGTACGGGAAAAGTATTGTTGTCTTGTCGTGCTGCTTCACGAAGAACATCATGATATTCTCCTGTGCTTCAGATACCCACCGCTCCTTGACAATAATACCGGTTTTGAATACGATATAAGGATCAATGAAGCCAACACTGGTGTCTTATATTCTTTGGAGCTCTGACATCTGGAATCTGTATAAAAATATAAGTTACATGTGAGGATAATTATATACACGTACGCATGGAAGTGAGTTTATTAAATAAAAGTAAGAATCACTTACAAACAAAAGGAGCTAATGATTGATTTGTCCAGAGCGTCCAAGTGGAATAGTTGATGCAATTCTTCGAAACTAATATGTAAGATGTCATCACCACGGAAG